GGTCCAAAAAACTGAAAGAACTTTTGCACCGGACTAATATTAGATATGTACTAGTTAGCAGTACGCATCTCTGCAGTTTGTTACGCTAGAAAACGTTTTAGTGAGGCTTTACTAGCAAGGATGCCGTCGGATGCTCTGTATGGTGTGCACAATCACACATTAAGTTGCAAATAACACGAGGGTAGCTGTTCTCGCATCACTGAAGAGAAAAACCCGCACTTGCCACGAAATTGTGATTATACGTTCATCATACCTTTGCAAATTTTTGATGACGATCTGGCAGATTTGGTGATCTACTCTTCGTTATCAATCCGCCAATATCCATGAGATAAATTCTACCACATGCCTCCTCTTCTCTGAGCCCCTGCTCCATCATCTCTTTTACGACCAACTCAGCGACACCGGTAGCTGCCTAAAACTTTTACTTTGTGTTGCGGTAGGAAGTGTCTGCTTCGTACTTACCGCTCCAGCGCCGAAGAATACAAATTTGTGCTCTTTCAGCGGTTTTTCGGTAAGTCGTGTGGCTGCCAAAAGGCCAGCGAGAACGACAGCAGCAGTACCTAGTGACAACTGGCTAGTTGAAATTCTTAGAGACACCTTGACTTTAGCTCACCTTGTATATCATCGTTAAACATACAGTAATCATTTTTGTATCTGTCCAGGAGGCGATAGGCATTTTGATTAGCAAAGTCTTCAAATTGAATGAGAGTATCCTGTCCGAATCTGAGATTCAGAGTTATGAAATGGTAGCAAGAATTGTGTTTATGCATGAGACATGGGAGGTAGATTTTTCAAAATTAAGATTTGAGTGGATGGCACATAAAGCATAAGGTGCCTCATAAGGTGATTTCCAAGCAAGAGTGCTTCCCCGCGAACTTTTATTAAACCCGCTACGGTACTCGTGGACGCGATATGTATGGTAAAAACAGTACCGTAGCGGGCAAAGATTTATGCCATGTGAATAATTCTTGTTGGCATTTGCAATGTGCAATTATGCTAACTGCAACTTCTCAATCAATACAAAATTAGCACCTATGATGTGATAGATATTGTATTTGATTTCGATTTATAAGTCACCAAATTTCGCGCAATAATTTGAATATAATCTTGTTTTGTCAGAATAGTTAGATGATTCTAACATGATGCTTGGAATAAAAGCAATCTGCATTTACAATTCAAATTCACCGTTTCGTGCATGCTTTCATAAAATTATCCATAAGCGTATCGTACTCTTGACCCCGAACCCGTCTTCGCCTCAGTCCCGTATAGAAGGGGTCATTTAGTAAACCCTGAAATCATTTCAACTCAGAACTTAACAGTCTCTGATTCTTTTGCTCTACCTGATTATCAGTTCCAACATCAATAATAACAGGAAGGCACCATTCTGGTTGAATTCCAGCTAAGGCAACATAGAGAGCTAATTTTCCTACGGGGATACCTATACCGTAAGTGCCGAGATCACCGAGTCCAAGAATTCGCTCGCCGTCAGTAACGACAATTGCCTAAAGAGCAGATATACTTAGGCCCGTATGCACGTACATCCCTGGGGGAGGAGATGTGAGTTTTACTATTGAAACGATCCC